TTAAGATCCATTTTAATGTTTTTTTTCTTCTCGATCAATGTAAAAGGCATGTGTGTGAGTAACAATTTGTTTTCTTCTATTTATATGTTTAAATAAGGCAATGACTTGAGATGATGTAAACATAATTTATAAATTTCATATATTAATTAATGATTCAAGGTTCATGAAATCTATTTTCAATGTTTCATTGCATCCAATCAAAATGTCAGCAGTAAGTTAACATAATAATTAAAATAGTTTTATTGGATTTTTATGACTAACATTCTTGAACTTTGAATTACCCCCTCCCGTAAACTGAAAATAACTCCCTTAAAATAAAATAAATTTATTTTTCAGTGAAGCCATTTACCTCTTAAAATGTAAAGTAAGAAAGAAAAAAACGTTTTTGTTTAAGGAAAGAAAAACTTGCTTACTGAATTTTAAGATGTTATAAATAAAAAAAAAGAAAAGAAAAAAGAAGATACAGAGGAGTTTTTTAAAAATTCTTTTCTTCCTTCATACCATCTCCCCTTCTAAAGAGTAGGAATTTATGCAAAAGAACAACACATAACGACAATATATATCCTACAGTCATTAAAAATTTCATTTACTTTAAAATATCAGTTTGCATTTTAAATTATGATAGAATTTTCATCGGGTTCGAGATTCAGAGTTTTTCTATGGCGTTGTATGATGTTGAAGATGTTGTCGTTTCTTGACTTTTTATTCTTCGCTGTTATCCAATTTTCTACCACTGAAGGATACGTATTGAACAATGTGTGCAATGTATTTAGTGGGAGATGTTTATGGAGGGGTGGAGGGATATATGAGGGTTGTGTAGAAAGGTATATAGGTTCAATTTTTTCGATTATGATGCGTTTTTAGATCTAGCTATGTGTCAGGTGGGGGTTGTTTATTTAGAAAACACTCCCTTACTTGTGAAATGATACCCCATTACGTGAAAGTAACTCAAGATGTTACTTTTTATTTGGGTGAAGAAGAGGAGAAATGTGTAAGTATTCATCAGATTTCATTTATGTTGATTATTAAATAGGGTTAATTATTAATAATCTTAACTAAATCTAAACTGTAGTATATCATTGTTTCGAGTATTGAAGCACGTGAACAAGTATCTGAAATCTTGTAGCGTGTCAAACCCAGCTCCTCAACTTTCAATGAAGATGGAAACTTATGGAAGATATGTTAATGGACTCATCATTGAATCATGGGATTCGACACAAACACTGAACTTACTTATCATGTAATCGGCGGCAATTCCAAACAAACAAATTTTTAAGTATGGCCTCACTTCACTAAAATATTGATAAATCAATACTGGAAATTGAATCATGGCATATTGTAAGGGAAGTAGGGGGGGGGATTCAACGGTTATACGATGACAATAAGTGTGACTGAAGTGTGCTCTAACGCATCAAATAGCAATTGTAATTTGTTTCCAATAATAGATATATCAACTTCATATTGTGTATTGTGAGATTTATTTTATTTACGTGTTTAAACAATGAATATATTTTTGTAAATCAGACCTTTGAGTAGGACAACAAGAGAAACAAAAAAAAAACCTTACTAACTACAATAGTCTGATGAGACAGGGTCTTACTTAGACAGGTCCCAATTGATGGAGTGCCACTGACCATGGTCCTGGTGGAAGAACCGCTAATCATTGGGGTCTCTGGGGGTATGCCAATTGACAGACTGGTCCTCATATCTGGGACTGGCGTGGATTACACACCTAAAACATAAAAATAAATCTGTGTAACCATTATTGAAATTTGAAAAATTTCAACGTTTTTATGAGCGGTAGTTTGCTAACCTCAAGATCTGAAAAAATCTAATGTTTACTGATGTTTTCAGTAATTAATTAATTCAGTAATTCAATTACTCTTCTAGCGATTTTCCACTTGAATTACATTGTGGTTTATGCCGTAAATTTTTATATAGGAAAATATCAAGGTGACCTCCTGAAGGTGACCTAAACCTGTTCAGGGTGACTCCAGACTGTTAGTGACCTCAAAATTATCCAGGTGACCTTAATCAAGAGCTGTATGATGAGATGGGTGACCCCAGACGGATGACCTCAGAGTGACCCGGTGATCAAGGTGCCCATAAGGTTACCTATATTAAGGTTAACTCATTAGCCTCAAGGTGACCCTGTTATCAAGGTGACCGAGATTTTGAGGTGACCTCAGACAGTTTTGATGACTAATGTACGTGCCCTCAGACTGCTTTGACCTTAAACGAGTTTGACCGCAGACAGTTGTGACTTTGTATAGATAGTTTTCAGTAGACCCTTATTTTCCAAGAGTTATTTCCCGTTGGCCGCCATCTTGTAGGTCAAACAGGTAATTTTCCCTCTTTGTCCTACCAAATATACGAGGGTGTAGCAGAAATATTTCGGGGAAAATTTTTATGAAATAAACATTATGAAATAAAGGTGGCTCTAACAAACGTATTATTGTCAGAAAAACAATGCTTCCCAGCCCACAATAGCCAGTATAAAAAGTTAAAGTTGGTTGAATTATGAAGGAATATGAGCATGTTGACCCACAATATGGCGACCGAAGGGAAATAACTCTTGTTAATTTGGATCTACTGAAAACTATCTATTGAATTTGACCTAGTACCCTTGATCTGGCCTACTTTATAACCTTGACCTTTACGGGTGTGGTCCATATGACGTCACTGCCCTTAGAGCCTACAGACTATACCCCTTACTACTTAGCTTCCAAAATGTAGAGAATTCTATCCTTACCACTTTCTGGTAACATAATTATTTTATATTCTTTGTCTATTAAAATGTTTTAATTACAAAAAACGGAAAAATAATAACTTTAAAAAAATTAAATATCATAACATTTTAAAACTATACATATATGCATCATCTGTAATTATGTAAAAAGAAACTAATATAAAACCATATAGACCAGTAAATATAATGTTATTCTGTTGAAACATTATTACTACATTATGCGCCCTTGAGAGAGTGGATTCCTACGTCATTTTGCATCACCGATAATTGTGACTTTGTTAATGTTATATGCATTAACGAACACGACCCTGACTTCAGAGGATTTGGCCGTATATTCCCTGAAATCGGGTAAAATACATCTTATCACAAGCTTTCCAATTGTCTTGGTAAATAGCCAAATTAATCCTAATAATAAACATGTTAGACATCTTGACCAACTCAGGAGCGTGAATAAACAAGAGGCCCAGGGGCCACAGCGCTCACCTGAGCACATCAGGCTTGAATTTACTCCACCACCCCCTCCAGGCATTTATCAATTGAACAAACTAGAATCTACACTACCTGAGGATGATTCCATATAAATATCACAAATCATAGCTTTGAAGTACTTGAAAAGAAGATTTTAAAAGGTTTCCCTATATATCCCTATGTAAAACTTGGGTCGGCCATTTTGGCCCCACCCTTGCCCCGGGGGTCATGATTTGAACAAACTTGAATCCACACTACCTGAGGATGATTCCACATGAGTTTCATCTTTCCTGGCCCAGTGGTACTGGAGGAGAAGATTTTTAAAGATTTTTCCTATATATTCCTATGTAAAACTTGGGTCGGCCATTTTGGCCCCACCCTTGCCCCAGCGGTCATGATTTGAACAAACTTGAATCTACACTACCTGGGGATGCTTCCACATGAGTTTCATCTTTCCTGGCCCAGCGGTTCTGGAGAAGAAGATTTTTTAAAAATGCCATAAATTTTTCACAAATTCATAATTATCTCCCCTTGGAAGGGGGCTTGGCCCTTCATTTGAACAAACTTGATTCCCCTTCACCCAAGGATACTTTGTGCCAAGTTTGGTTAAAATTGGCCCAGTGGTTCTTGAGAAGAAGATGAAAATGTGAAAAGTTTACGCCGACGACAGACAACGGACAAATTTTGATCAGAAAAGCTCACTTGAGCCTTCGGCTCAGGTGAGCTAAAAACGCGTGGGGTTCCCAATTTGACCCCTCTCGCAATGATTGACATATTAAATCACGGTTACATCCATCAAGCATCGATGACTATTATTTTTTAGGTGACATCACGTACCCGAATCGTGATTCTCAGCGATAACAGATTTAGTTTGTTGAACTGTATATTGGAAATTTATTTAAAAATCTTCTCAAGAACCACTGGGCCAGAAAAGCTGAAACTTATGTGGAAGCATTCTGGGGAAGTGTAGATTACAAATTGTCTAAATTATGATCAGTGAGGTAGGGTGGGGTCACAATACGTATTACAAGGGAGAAAGCTTTTCAGGTGAGCGATGTGGCCCATGGGCCTCTTGTTATATATGTCCAGCGCGAATCGTTTTAGCTGATACTATGTCTGCTCTGGTACAGCCTGGAAACATGCGCTCACCGTAGCGGGTCTTTACTGGTTCCTTCCTATGTGATTCGAAAAAGTTCCTCAGGTCCTTCAGGTTTTCGGTGGTTTTTCCTTGTTTTACAGATGCTCCCTGTGACGCTGCACTGTCTCCCTCTATAGGAAGAGGAGTTTCATCCTTGTTTAGTTTCTATGCATTCAGCCGTGCACTGTTTCTCATTACCAGTGTTTGTCTGTTGTGTAAAGATTTGAAGTGCATTCATTCTGCTGGGACAGGTGACTTGTTCGCCTTTTCCTGTCAATTATTCTCCCTTATTACAATGAACATGACGTATTGCCAAAAAACACTGAAATACCTTTTCCTCACTAGTAACATTTTCACACATAGTAGAAGTTACTTGTGTATCTGCCTGAAATGGAATCCCCCTCTAAGCGAATTGGTGAATTATCAGGAAGTCCACATTCAGAGTCATTTTGTTACAATGATTTTCATATATTATTCATACTATACCTTTTCACAGAATTAGCTTTATTCCCCACTTTACAAGCAGAGTCTTTAAAGCTTGCATGGAGCCAGCTGAAGCTGGTGGACATTTACAATCAGTAGAATTCCTCTCATCCCCTCCGTGGTCAGGCTGGTGCCCCAATCTAATTAAAATTAGATCCTTTGATCCGCTCACCTAAGATCGCTACACAAAGGATCTAACAACTGCGCGTTAGGGGTCACCTCAGCATGACCTAAGATGTTGACCAATCAGAACGTCGCCTAGTAAAGCTTCGGTACGGTTTGGTTCTATCGGAACTTACGTATCTTTTCTAACGAGTCCCGGTAAATCCGAGTAAGCAAAACAACATGGCGGCGGCCATAGTCTCCTCGCCGAGAACACCACAAAGGGTGTACAGCCTGACTAATATATGTTGTTTGTGTGGCTTTTCTTTTGTTGTGAAGGAGATAGATAAAGAGGGCAATGTTCAGTTCAAGAAATTATTCCGATTGAAATTAAAAATGACAGACGAAAAACGAAATGTGATTCAGCAAGTGATACCCATATCTTCAAGTGCTGAAGGAGTATGTGTGAAATGTTTCGGTAAGATTGAAAAAATAATTAAGTATAGACGGGAAATTGATGGCATTATATCACACTTTGAAGAAAGCATGAGGAGATACAAGTTGAAAACAACACCAAGATCAACAGCAAGGAAAAAACGACTGCTTCGATCACCAGAGGTTAGTTTGTTTTTTTTTGGGGGGGGGGGGGAGCACTTCTACACAGATACAATAAAGCCCAAATAAAGCCTATGTGTTTATGCTTCAAGTTTGCACGTTATATTGCATAATCAGACTCGCCATGTAAAACTACTGAACACTACTGTGTTGTAATTGATAAGATTTCTTACAAACATGACAGAAAGTATCACATACATTCTGAAATATTTGAGTTGGAAAATATATCAAAAACACATTTAAAGTTATATATAAACATATATACTTTTTATTTTTGTCGAATGAAATGCTCTAAACTCTAAGTCAAAAGTATTCCATATGCAGGTGTCTGCACCAGAACTGAAGAACACATGCAGGGCAGACATTACCAATACACACCATAATGTCACTCAACCAATTCACACAGGTATGTTGTAACTTTTGAATAAATATGATAAATATTTCATTGTAAAGTGAACTAAAAAAATGAATAGATTCCACTTGTATATACATGTATATAGGCTAGTGCAGGTATGTACACCAGTGTTTGCACTGGTACATGCACATTGTGATTGTTTAAAACATGTTTTTAAGGTCACAAGTACACAGACATCAAGCCAGCAAGGAAGTCCCTAAAGTTTGTTGATGATGTTCGTACAGTTCAAAATTCCAAAGAAGGTAATATTATTTATTAATGATAATCAAAAATACTGAAAATTGAGAAAACTAGTGCTTAGTTTTAATGACATGTATATATCAACATCTTTGTGAATGATATTTCTGAGGATCATTTTATTTCAGAGATGCAACAGGATTCCTCAGTCTGTTCAGTAACCCAACATCAAAGAAAGCTAGGGGATTGTCTAGTTGTAGAAGGGGTGAATAAAAAAGATATTATACTTAAGAAGGTTCGATCCTGTGCTTTTGAACAGATTTTTGTTTGGACCTCTACTTCTAAAATTCTGCATCATAGTTTAGTTCTTACAATAAATTTGGATTCTTCTATGCCAATTAAACTATATTCAATTAAAATCCCACAATTAAATTCCAAACTAAACACATTAATTGAGGAACTATATCTTGTGGCAGAAGGTTTTTTAGAAAGAAAATGATGATGATTTTTAATTAAGCTATGTGTGTAGATACTAAAAATATACTTGACAAAAAAAATCTTAAGACTTTTTATAGCAGGATCCAACCTCCTTAATGCCTTTCATGCATGTCTGGTTTGTAAAAAGATATAAAAAAATTTTTATAATGTCATACTAAAAAAATCATGGTCTGTTGGACAATTGACATTTTAATGATAGAATATGTACTACATCATGTATCTGTAAAGCATATAAGTTTGTATGCAATGTACATGTATAATGTGTCTTGCACACTTCTGCTGTATTGGTGTATATTGGGGGTACAGTGTATATTTAAATTGAAAGAATTTTGCATTAATTTTTAGATTCCTGAAGATATTCCACCTAGTAAACTTATTCATTCCAAGGAGTTAGTTACGTATTGCACAATGTTGATTACAATTTAATTGTATTAAATAAACAAGTGAAAATAAAATGATGATTATCTTGTATAACTTACAAGACATATCCATGCATCAAGATTGCATGTCTGCTGATGAACAAAAGTTTAAATTATCCAAATTATTCAAAAGATGCCTGTATTCATTTCAGTAAAACCACTCTTAGATGGCACTGTTGAGGTTGAAGCACTTTCTGATGATGTTATAATTTTCATGTATTTTGATGTGATATATAATTAGTTCATTCTTTAGTTTAATAAAAAATTTAAAAATAACAATAAGAAAAGAACAGGGCTATCTTATTCTTCTGCATTTTAGATCTTTTAATGAAGGAACTAATTGTTACATTTTATTGATGTTTATTTTGAATTACACTTTTACTAATATATTTTATACCTTTAAGTGCTTTGGTTTCATATTTCGAGTTACAAGTTTGTTCGATTTGTTTGTTAATTTCTGTTCTTGTTTTCAGAAAAATATACATGATTGAAGTTCTTAAATGTTGACTGTTGTTCTATTTATGATTTTTCCAACAATTACTAAATTAAAGGTATGATGATCTTATTTTATAACCTAAGATATTTTTATTACAGGAATTTCAGCTAAAAAACTTGTCAATGCCAAGCATTATGAAAACACAAAATATGAAAGTACAAAAAATTATCTGATATTGAATATTAAAGAAACTGAGTTTAATTTGTGTAAATACTGATGTCGGATTAAAAAAGAAAAAAAAATACAACTAAAGCCAGTAATCTTTTCATATGTCTTAATGAAGTGATATACAAGTTATGCCTTTAATACTATGTACATTTTTCTATAGGTGTCGATCAATTATCCCAGTGGAAGGAAATCTGTTCTAGTCACCTCTGATTCACACAAAGTGATTTGCAAGGCCATGGTTGACAATAAAGGTGGAGTGGACATGTCTATTGTTAATACACTTCGTCAGACAAATCCAAATGCTTTGGTGAAGGGGATTTCCAAAGTTGTTGAAGAGGAATGTAGTAAGGCATGTCATCGAGGTTCTGGTGCATGTCTCCAAAGTAAAGACTTTGAACATTTCTTAAGCTTTAAATGGGATACTTTTCACGAAGATCTCCAGGAAAGATGTCCTCATACTATGTCAGTTATTTCATCAACTGTACAAAACCCGCCACCAGTTAGTTTAAGCAAATCTTTCTTTCATATCATGTTTGCCAGTGCTTTACTGTTGCATGGCAGGAGTCAAGAAATGTCTGCCTTTCAATATATATTAGCATTTCTCCTTGCTCGTGTTGGATGTACTTTAAGGGTAAGTATCACCATATTATATTTAGATATTAATGCATGAATTTTTAAAGTTGAAAGAAATACATGTAAATTAGAATTCTTTCAAATTTGAATGCCCTGTGTACTTTGAAGAACCATAATTATGTTATTGTATTGAAAATTAGATTTTATCTAGTATATTTAATGATTATTATGAAATTAAATGAAATTTATCTTAATATGCATCCATTTTTTTTTTCATGTCAGACCATTGAAATACTTTGCAAGACTGGATTATGTGTTCACGCACAAACACTCCAAAACAAACTTACTAGCTGGAAGGACAAGTTAGATGAAGAACTTAAAGTCCTAAAGGTAATTCACACTCAGTTTTAAAAGGTAAATATAATTATATTTTTTTATATACAAAAAATTAGAAAATTAAACATATGATTAACATACATATAAGTGTTTAACTCATGTTTAAACTGTTAACACTCAGTTTAAGAAACATGTTTGTTTATAAGTGAAACACAAAATGTTTCCCTCGTGAAAATTATGTGACACATAAGCTTAAGCAAAAGGGTATACTGTACATGTATATTGAGATTCTCTGAGTTATTGTTTTTAGTAAGCTTTATTACTATTGCTATTGTTTTTAGCTCACCTGAGCGGAAGGCTCAAGTGATCTTTTCTGATCACATTTTGTCCATCTCTAAACTTTTCACATTTTCGACTTCTTCTCCAGAACCACTGGGCCAATTTCAACCAAACTTGCCACAAAGTATCCTTGGGTGAAGGGGATTCAAATTGTTCAAATGAAAGGTCACACCCTCTTCCAAGGGGAGATAATTAAGAATTAGTGAAAAATTAATGGCATCTTTTAAAAATCTTCTTCTCAAGAACCACTGAGCTAGAAAATATGAAACTTTTGTGGAAGCATCCTCAGGTAGTGTAGATTCAAGTTTGCTCAAATCATGACCCACAGGGGTAGGATCTTTACATATATGTATACGTTGTATGTATTAATTTTAAATGGTTTATATCCGAACTTACATTAATGTATTCGGATTACCGTGGCTCAACTGTATTAATATATTTTTGAGAAGCAATGTTATTAATAAGTTAAGTGATATATACATATACATGTAACACCAATTAGAAAAATATCTTAATTGATGAGAACCTGATCTATATCTCCATGTGTATGACCGACCATTAAAAACGAAATTTTAATCTTTCTAAAAAGGCTAATCTAAACCAGATAACACATAAAACCCAATAAATATCTGCAAAAATAGTATAAAAAAACAATTGGTATTTTTGTGGAAGGTTTATATGCGTAACTTAATGCGTCTTTTTATTTTATAATTTATATGTTATTTTTATCCACTTCTGGTCTCCATTGATCATTTACCTTTTTAGCTCTACTGGTCAGAGACCAGAAGAGCTTATGCGATAGTAATGCGTCCGTCGTCCGTCCGTCTGTCTGTCTGTCCGTCTGTAAACAATTTTTCAAAATGCTACTCCTCCTACAGTTTTGGTCTGATTTCAATATAACTTGGCACACAAGTAGACTACACTAAGATACATAATTCTGTGTATCGGTTTTTGATTTCGATGAACGGTGTTGCCGTGGTTACTAAAAATAGAAATTTCTGTAAAATTCTTTCAAAATGCTACTCCTCCTACAGTTTTGGTCTGATTTCAATATAACTTGGCACACAAGTAGACTACACTAAGATACATAATTCTGTGTATCGGTTTTTGATTTCGATGAACGGTGTTGCCGTGGTTACTAAAAATAGAAATTTCTGTAAAATTCTTTCAAAATGCTACTCCTCCTACAGTTTTGGTCTGATTTCAATATAACTTGGCACACAAGTAGACTACACTAAGATACATAATTCTGTGTATCGGTTTTTGATTTCGATCAACGGTGTTGCCGTGGTTACTAAAAATAGAAATTTCTGTAAAATTCTTTCAAAATGCTACTCCTCCTACAGTTTTGGTCTGATTTCAATATAACTTGGCACACAAGTAGACTACACTAAGATACATAATTCTGTGTATCGGTTTTTGATTTCGATCAACGGTGTTGCCGTGGTTACTAAAAATAGAAATTTCTGTAAAATTCTTTCAAAATGCTACTCCTCCTACAGTTTTGGTCTGATTTCAATATAACTTGGCACACAAGTAGACTACACTAAGATACATAATTCTGTGTATCGGTTTTTGATTTCGATGAACGGTGTTGCCGTGGTTACTAAAAATAGAAATTTCTGTAAAATTCTTTCAAAATGCTACTCCTCCTACAGTTTTGGTCTGATTTCAATATAACTTGGCACACAAGTAGACTACACTAAGATACATAATTCTGTGTATCGGTTTTTGATTTCGATGAACGGTGTTGCCATGGTTACTAAAAATAGAAATTTCTGTAAAATTCTTTCAAAATGCTACTCCTCCTACAGTTTTGGTCTGATTTCAATATAACTTGGCACACAAGTAGACTACACTAAGATACATAATTCTGTGTATCGGTTTTTGATTTCGATGAACGGTGTTGCCGTGGTTACTAAAAATAGAAATTTGTAAAATTCTTTCAAAATGCTACTCCTCCTACAGTTTTGGTCTGATTTCATTATAACTTGGCACACAAGTAGACTACACTAAGATACATAATTCATTGTATCGGTTTTTGATTTCGATGAACGGTGTTGACGTGGTTACTAAAAATAGAATTTTTTGTGAAATTTTTCAAAATGGTACTTCTCCTGAAGTGTTGGTCTGATTTCAATATAACTTGGCACAAAAGTAGACTACACTAAGATACATAATTCTATATATCGGTTTTTGATTTCAATGAAAGGTGTTGACGTGGTTACTAAAAATAGAAATTTCTGTGAAATTCTTTCAAAATGCTACTCCTCCTACAGTTTTGGTGTGATTTCGATATTACTTGGCACACAAGTAGACTACACTAAGCTTCATAAATCTGTATATCGGTTTTTGATTTCAATGAACGATGTTGACGTGGTTCTAAAAAAAGAAATTTCGTTGAAATTCTTTCAAAATGCTACTCCTCCTACAGTTTTGGTCTGATTTCAATATAACTTGGCACACAACTAGACTAGTGACACTAAAGTACATAATTCTGTATATCGGTTTTTGATTTCGATGAATGGTGTTGCTGTGGTTACTAAAAATAGAAATTTCTGTGAAATTCTTTTAAAATGCTACACCTCCTACAGTTTTGGTGTGATTTCAGTATAACTTGGCACACAAGTAGACTACAATAAGGTACATAATTCTGTGTATTGGTTTTTTACTTCAATGAACGGTGTTGCCACAGTTGCTAAAAATAGAAATTTCTGTTATATACTCTCAAAATGCTACTCCAAATACAGTTTTAGTCTGATTATAATATAATGTGGCATGCAAGTAGACTACACTAAGAACATAACGAGACTTAAGGATCATTATCCTATTTATTGCTGTTGTAAAGTTTCAATTCCCAACTGCTTAAGTCTCTTCCTTTGCTATATAATAAGTACAAACCAGTAGAGCTTCAGTCTCGACAGAGACTTCTGGTTTTTATTCTCCCTGGCATAGTTATCCATTTGAATGTAAAGGGTGTCAGGAAGAGAATCTTTCATGGAGTAATAGAGATTGTAAGGTTTGTAGAATGACTACAAATGATTATAAGAATAGAAAACTTCGGTATACAGTTTATACATTTTTATAATTATCAGTAGAGCTTGTTTGGAGATGTACTATTGGAGCAGGTCGAGAAGAAAAAAACCATAAATTCCTATCCCATGAACGACAACGCCTCTTAGATGTACACTTAACTTCCACAACGTAGACGAGAATTTAATTACATGGACGACATGGGGTAGGGAAGTCTTGCTCTGATCCATCCTGTCGATGATGAGGAATAAATATTTGTTTGGAAACATCTTTGCCTTTGTGAAAGCTTAAAGAACTCTTTTAACCTACTTCTGCTTTTTTAGACGATTGTCTCTTTTCGTTTGAAGCAACGTTCTTTCTCGTACATCTCTGGTTTCCGCAAGTTAATTTTGATCTCTGTACACACATTGCATTTCGAAAATCGGTTGTTCTAAAACTAACAAACAAAAAAAAGAGAAATTAATATATTTTTTTTAGTTCTCTGGGAAATGAACCTTTAGTTGTTAAGGTGATTCGGTCGCGCTCTGACCCCCAAATAAATTTCATACAGAATTGAACATATTTTCCTTTCAATAGGTTTATAAAAGAAAGATATTTGCAAATGTTAATATTACATTTTACGTCTTGATCACATAACTCAAATTCGTGAAGAAATGTTAAAACTTTGTTCACTTCTCCAAAAACTGAGGAAATGGCTTAAAGAGACTAGTGACATAAAATTTTCCTGCGATTCCTCAAACATCAGATCATATACGTGGAGCAGGGAGGCAAATGGATGTGGGGCTGTTTGGGATATTTTTCTCCATAGTTTTGGGCATAAAGCTTCAACCAAGCAATGACTTTCATGGACTTTGTCTGGCGCCTCTTCCTCTTGAAATTTGTAACGCTTTTCTGATTTTCTGCTACAGCATAAATTTAATTTCTTTTGTCAAATTTCCACAGTTACATGTGCCTCTATCTACAAAGCCAATAAGAATACGGAATCTAATACTACTCACTGAAGAATATACCCCGCACTTCATAAAAAGTGGACTGCGGTATCCCCAAAACAGCTCTACATGCTGCACAGCACACGCTTGTCGTCCCCATCATGAATACAAAACTCCAGGAATGAGATCGCTCATCATATCTATTTAAGTAACATGCCGAAAAAGATAACATTTATTATTACCCTTGAGATTAACAGTAATTAATAGTATTGAATTTGTATTAAAAGCAAACATTTCATTCTTACTGAGAATGACTCCATAGATAATCCAGCAGCCATTGGCGTCTTTCCAGGCTGTTCATTGCCTGTAAATTCTCCCGATATTAAGTCTTCTTCCATCAAACCAGTTAAGCAATGTAAGTAGCAACACATTACTCCCCAAACCAGAACCACTGATAAAATTTTAGATTTTCTTTTACCTAGAATTGGAACTCGCACATTTTCTTAATTCATCAAGGAAACATTGTAAATACACAATTTTGAAGCAAGGAAACTCATTCAGCACATATCAATTTAACATTGACAAAACAACAATATATTAAGAAAGTTTATAATTGGCCCAGCGGCTCCAGAAAGAAGCTGAAAATGTAAATTTACAGAGGGACTGACGGACATGTGGACAATAGTTATAAAGAAAATCTGATTTCAGCTTTCAGCTCAGGTGAGCTAAAAATAGGTGATTTGGCTCAGTGCGGACCTCCTTGAAAACAGCTTG